TATATATATTTAAACAAATGGCGTTATATTATATATTAAATAAATAATATTGAAATTAAATTAGTATACATAAACTTGAATAATTTCTCTACTCGTATAATAAATGAATAGTACCCAAATTATACAATCTTTAATAATTTACATATTCCTAGAATAATTAATGATAAAATGAATAATCTTAAAAATAAATACGTGTTCATGAATTTAAATAATTTATCTACTCCTAAGATAATTGAATAGTTCCCAAAACATGTGTACATGAACTTGTAGACTTAATGTCATATTGAATATATCCATAAATAAATGTTAATTAGTATACATGCACATACATAAATAATTGAATTGTAGTATTTCTAGAGTAATTGAACATCCCCCAAAATAGGATAATAATGGTTATACACCATGCATGGTGTACATCCTCCTCACATGTGAGGGGGCCCACCATGAATAAAAAATTTGTGGGCCCCCTCTATGTGAGGGGAGTGTATAACATGGTGTACATGAAGTAAAGTCTCCCAAAATATATAACGTGTACATGCATGAACTTGAAGAGTTAATTGATTGAATTATAGTAGGATATATATAAATTAATGTTAATTATTATCATACACGTAAAAAAATAATTGAATTGTATAAAAAATTCATTTTTCATTTCACATAAATAGTTTTTTTAACTATTTTTTATATTCACTGATTTTCAAATATCATTTTTACAGCGTTTATAAAATATTTCAAAAGAATGTGCAATGCACGTTTAGCTGTGACTAGTTCTCCTAAAAATCACTATTCAAAACTCTTTTTTCTACAATCATGGTTGTCAAACAGGCTCTAAGGAGAGCCAAGGAGTTGAGTAAAATTCCAAGAGAGAAGGATAAGGGCAATTTTTACCTTGAGAAGGATCTTGAGAATTTTGAAAGACACAAGGATTCTTTACAAGATGGACAACATCAAAGTTTTCTAGGAAGCGATTTGGACAGCAGTCGGAAAAATCATAAAGAATCAATGAGACGTGAAAAAACTAAAAAATTATCAGGTCATAATTTGTAAAGAAATGAAGGAAAAGAAGGACGAACACGAACATGGATTCTCTCTGACGAAAAAAAATGCTGAATTTCCTGGGAAAACAGATAATAACCTTAGCAACTCCTGAACAGCTTGAAAATGAAAGAGAGTATCTGGCTTTGACAATAAGAATGGGTCCCATTGGTTTTTAATGATGTTAGAGTTGACATAAGCAGAATGAGGAATCTGAATCCTGCATCTATCTTGAAATTAAGGTATCAGAATAGCAGAAATTGAATAGTTTCTTCCGATACACTTGGACAATTTAAGAACTTTTACTAATTGCTTCAATCTGCACTCTAAATTTGCTTCTGATTTACTTTTAAGTACTTAGAAATTTTCTCTGAGTTTGTGCATAAGATTTCTAATTCACAAAAGCTTGAATTCCTTTATTCTGATATCTGAAGAGTTGGATTCCCATTAAAGATGAATTTATTTGGTCTTATATAACAAACCTTAAACCTTATCATGCTAATATCAAGGGAATCATCGGTAGGGACTAACTGCACCAACTTTAAACTTGTGCAACTATTTAACCCCCGTTTAATCTACATTATTATACAGGTGTTAACTTGTCACTATCATAACTATGTGCAGTTTATGCTCCCGTTTGGGCCACCTTATTATCTCATTAAAATGAAAAATATGACCGTTATCCATCACATCAACATTTAAATTCAAATTTTTTATCTCTTGTGTGGGCCCAATAACGACTATATTTTTTATTCTCATTCTATAATAATTTGGCTCAAATGGACCGTTAGTAACAATCATGCTACACGTACATAATTTTTGGTAGAAAATCTTTACAGATAACACATGGCATGACATTATTGGAAGTTGGGAAAAAAAATAAAAAAAAAGTCCAATCGCGCACTGCCACATAAGTTTCGGTATAAATTCTGGAATTAGTCTAAATGTACACAATGCTTTACCAAATGGATTACAACCCCCTCACATGGAGGGGGGTCCACACACAATAAATATTCGTGGGCCCCCCTCCATATGAGGAGTGTAATCCATTTGGTAAAACATTGTGTGTACATCTAGCATATCCCTACATTTTGTGAAGTTTTTAATGTACTGATGACTTTATCCATTTAGTAATTGCTCTATTACTTGTCACTGACTCACTGTGAGGGTTTCCATGGAATGTAGGCTCAATATTTCTTTTCACGTTATCAGAAAAATGGCCTTTTTGATTAGTCACACATAGGAGTTTCGCCCTTCTTGGGCTCCATTTTAACGAGTTTTTGGAAAAATGTATTTTATAATAGTAATCCTTTGGAGAACGCGTAGTTAAAAAAGAATAATTTTTTTTTTGAATTTTCATGTAACATTATTTTATTAAAAGATGTGTGGTTGAAAAGAAGAAAGAAAAAATGTATTAAAATTAGAAGGAGCCCAAACACGGATAAAATTGAATTAGGCATAAAGGGGGTGTTTTATTGGTTTTTTTTAATGGAAAATGTTATTTTTCCATTAAAGTTTACACTTTTGGAGTGTTTGATTGATTTTTACATTAAAAAAAATGTTTTTTTAAAGCTGGTCACGTAACCATATTTTTCTAAAAATTAAGGAAATATTTTATTTGGGGATGGATGAGTGTTTATTTTCCAGGTAACTCTCCTCCTCTTTCATCTATCCACCAATAAAAAATAGACAATTACAACATCTTCTAGATTGAAAATTAAATCAATCAAACACATTTAATTAATAATTTTCACGTAAATAAATTCTAGACAATTGAATTGTCTAATTATTATTTTATTTCCTTTCAAATTCCACGATTATAAAATAAGCACACCCTTATTCTAAAAAATAACAACGTAGTACCACAGGATGTGAAATATTAGGACATCAAAATCATAAGTAATCCTCGTTGTTCTCTAACCAAACCTTGTTTTCTATATATTTTTTACAAAAAAAATTATACATAAACAAATTTAGACATATTATTTCCGTTACTTTTAACTCCATATTTCACAAGCATACAACATTTGTCTATTCTTCTAATTTGTTAACATTTAAATATATAATAATTTTTTCAAAATCTTTTACCCACTACTTACAATGAGAATGTGGACCACATTGTCAGAATTTTTAAATACACGCGGGCCCCGCGCATTATGTGAGAGGGGGTAATCCATTATGTACAAATGGATTAACCTGTATTTTTATCTACTTCAATCTGACATTAGGCCCTTGTTTGGTGGCCTTAAGATTTAAAAACACATAATTTAGAATAGTATTTCTTGGAGAATGTGTGATTAAAAAGTAAGAAAAAATTTTAGATTTATCTGTGAAATATTTTATTATGTATGTATGTTTAAAAATGACGATAAAAAATAAATTAAAGTAAAGTGAATGCGACCAAATAGGGGGGCTAAATAGAGGAAAAAAAATTGCAAGAGAAATCTTTGATTATATAGTAACTCAGCTCCTGTTTGGGCTCTATTATTTCGCATTTTAACATGTTAAATAGTAATTTTTTGAAAAATTTATGATTATAAAAGAAGGAATTTTATTAAGATTTACGTGTATTATTATTTTAATAAAATATATGTAATTAATAAGAAAAGAGAGAAAAATAAATTTTAATTTAATCCTCAATTGAATCATTGCACATAGAATTGATTGTAAGAATAGATAGAAAAGAAAGAAAGAAAAGAAATGAAAACTGAAAAGCATAACAAAACAAGTATTAAGCTACTCAGACAGGGAATAATGACAGGATTTGGTGACCAACATCATGTGGCGATTTTTGATTGGCCTTTTTTTGAAAAAAAATTCCATTCCCCAATGATTGAATGCCAAGTCATGTTGGTCACGTAACCCTGTTAATATTCCCTGTTAGTGTAGCATTGTTCAACAAAACAAAACAAAACAAATCCAAGTAGCCCGCTCCAATGGCATCATGACACATGGCCTTCCGCCAATCAAAAACTATACAAGAATAACCAGAGTAATTTTAAAAGGGTATATCTGTCATTTCAATTAATAACCAAGTCTTCAGCTCAATGTCAAACAAGTAGTATCTACGATCTCCACAATAGTTTCACAAAACCCTCCTTCAGTCTCTCTCTCACGCTTACTGTGCGTGTTTCCTATATAGACAAAGATAGACCTTGATTTGGCCGTCAATGGCGGCCCTGGAGACCCCTCAACCGTCGACTCTGCGTCACGCGTTCGGAAATGTGCTATCAATCTTCGTCCTGTTACTCATCGGCGTCTTTGCTTTCTCGATCCGTCTCTTCTCTGTAAAAGATCTTCCTTTTTCCAATATCTGTACCGTATAATTGAATTTAAATGCGAACATTGAAATGACATTTTAGTTTATGGATCCAAGGTATTTCATTGATTTATCTTTTTTTCTGGAATCTGGATTTGTAGTAATGACTTTTTTGTTTGTTAATTTTGTCTTGTACAGGTGATTAAGTACGAGAGTGTAATTCACGAGTTTGATCCTTACTTTAATTATAGAGTCACTCAGGTATGTCTGGTTTCTAACTCATTGGATCTTCTGGATATGCAGCATTTAATATTTTTTTTGCTTGTATAATCTTTGCTTAAGATTATCATCGTGAAAATATGTATGTATCTGTTCCTTTTTCCATATTTTTCGTGTTTCTAATTGATAATTACCTTTATCATACTAAATGATGCACACAAAGTGGAAAAGAGTTCTTCAGTTTAAACTGATAGGGGAAATATTAATTGCCTAATACAGATTTCTGTCAAGACCGGTGGGTGAAATATTAAGTTTTATGATACAAATGTCTAATTCTTGCGTTGTGTGAGGAATTAAACCATCTGCCACTGGGTCTCATCACTGGAGTGTGTAAATTTATTGTACAGTAAATAGCATGATGATACAATGCTTTGCTGTCTCATTACGTTGCAACTCCACTAAAATGACTCAACTTTGAAGTAAGTTGTCTAATTTTGATGGTTCATGGACATTACAACATCAAGCCTTTTTGACCTGGTGTGGTTGAAAATTGACCCCTTTGACATGTCTAAGCAGTTCCCTCTCCCTTATGGGGAAGGAACCCGAGATTTTATAATTTGGTGAACACACATAGCAAGCCAAGCTAGCTTAGTTATTCTTTAGTTGTCCTTGTTACATGCAGATTGACTTTACCTGCTCTCCCTTTATGTATGTACACGTGTCATCTATTTTTTATTTATTTTTGTATGTTTCCTTGCAACAAATATTTTGGCAACTCCTGCACGAAAGGTGAACATTTGAATTG